CGGCGCGGATGCCGCACTGGTGTCGTGATGCACATGGTTAAGGCCCGTGGCATTACGCGCTCCTAGGCGCTGCGGAAATTTAACTTCCCCGGTGAGTCGGAACGGCCAGGAATCTCGCCGGAACCACCACCCACCACTTGAGCGAGGACGAGAGCGAGAGACGGCACGCCGACCGCACCTCCGCCACAGACTGCACAGCCCAGGCCGAAGCTACTTTTATGCTGCTTCCGCACGGCGTCGTACGACCAACAAGCCGGACCCAGACTTCGTCACCGACACTGCCACAAGCACGACTGCTCCGGGTCAAGAAGAAAGCGTCCCGGGAATATGACGATCCTGCTGCATCCATCCCGTCCCAATGCACGTCCTGTGGATTCAGGTCCGAAACGAAAGCGAGTCCAGTATCTTACATGCGCGCACACGAACGCCCCAAAACAGAGCTGCAGCCGGCAAAAAAGACCACGGCACTCCTTCAATGCTCTTAACGTGGCAAGCAGCCGGGCATTGCCGGGGAGTTGGCCACCCACATCCGGCACAAGCACCCCGACGGTGAGAATGTCACGACGCCAAAAATGATGCCACAATGCACGCACGCCACAAAGCTCGAAACACAGCAGGAAGAACGCCAACTCCGCACAGCGACTTTGCCTCTGCAGGCGACTCCCTCCGCCGCGCAGGAGAATGCCGGCGAGGAACAGCGCACCGTGTGCCCAAGGTGGCACGCACACTTCCATTCATCAACGTCCCACTGCCGCCGATTGAATGGCAACAGAGGCGTCATGCTGCCGAGAAGGCGCACGTTGCCCGGCGATGGCACCCCGAGGGGATCACCACCGGTCAAATTTCGCCGTCCAGCATGCGGCTTTTAGTCCCGCAGCAGTCACGGAATGGGCCGGCATAGCACGGCACACCACGGGCATTGACCGGACATCGTGAAATACAGCCAGCGTGAAATGTGTGACGAGACACTTCTGCATCTACTCCGCTGCCCGGCTCTGTGGGCGCACAGACAAAAGCAAGGAGTGGACGCTGGGGAATTGAGGAATCTGTGCTTTACAAAAAAATTGGCGCAGTTTTCTTCTCGAGGGGGAAAGGCTCTGCCGCCCCCCAAGCAGCACTCCCACGCGGCGAGAAGGCACAAAGCCCCTCGCAGATGCGGCAAATTGCCTTTGCTCCTGGTAGGCTCCCCTCTTTTTCTCGTCATTTACAGACTTC